CACTTGCATATTCTTTTATTTGATATATTTTATTTTTCACCAAGAATCAAGTATATACTTAGCATTAAAATTTTTAATAAAATTGAAAATTTCCATGGTAAAAATATTAGTTATGTATTTATTCTTAGAACTTTTCTTGACAAATGTTCATTCTTTATTTTTTTAATAAATTTGTTTCATGCTCTTTTCCTTCTAAAATAGTTGTAAAAAAGTAAGGGAGTATCCACTTTTCCGGTCACAACAATCTGTAGGTATCTAGATGATTCTTTTTAAATCCTTGCATATCCACATTATTTGCACTATTTATCACTTTTTCACTTCATATGGTTGTGATTGATTCTTTATAATTAGAATTACATTTGTGGACTATTAGATGCAATGTACATTGAGTATTTTAATTTTCCAACCAAGGCATACTTGTTTACTTGACTAAGCCCTTAAATCTATCGAGTCAAATTTAATTTGGTTAAAGGATATTGGAAAAGTTGAGGTTGGGCAAGTGCCCACCTTGAACAATGCCTTACTTAACCCTTGGTTTTCGTACCGCATGAAAAACATGTTATGGAATAATGTGGTGTTACGAAGCATTGATGCTTTTTCACTGTGTTACAAAATGCGAGGGGACAGTTTTGTTTCATTATGAAATACAATTTTTAATACATTATGAGATACATTTTGTTAATACATTGGCTCCTATGATACTATTCTATATCACAAATCTTTAGGGAGTCTTGCTTTTAGGCAACTAACCAGATCTATTTCTAATTACAGGCACAATGGCACTTTATTATCATGCATGAATCTTTATCCGAATTAAGATCATCTACCTGATTGTTCTGATCCTATGTGAAGTATATGGTTACTATATATGTCCATGCGAAGAAGATTATCCAAATAAAAAGTTGACTGATAATACCATATAAATCATGAGTTATTATTTCTTTCAACATTTAAGCACAAAATTCCATATGAAATTGGTTTCCCAATTTTACCAAAGCATGCTCATGTCGAACAAGGCTCTGGATATTCAGTGAAATTTATTCAGGGTGGACAGTCGGAATTCCAATAACTCATTTAGGTTTCTACCATCCTTAAATTAACTTAGGTTCTCATAATATAATGACATGCATGTATATTTTCCTTCCCTCCAAGACTTGAGCTAGGAGATAAAAGATAGAAGTCCATCACTGTGAACCATTTAATTGCTGCACCCAAGCGAAACATGAAAAGAGAGATGGATGTCGAGACACGGACCATCTTATGTGTCTGAACGAGAAAGTATTTGTAAATCTTTGACCACCTATCCTTTAAAAAGAACCCATACTAAATGTATCACGTCTAATGTGGTTTTCTTTCATGATTTTCCAACAAAAATGCCAATTTTCTTCTAATTTCAATCACCTTGGCTTCATTCATGAGTGTCTAAATGAAAGCCTTAAAGGGAAATTCTTCTGTAAGTCCACAGGCAATGAACAATTCTAAATTTTCGTCTTGCCTCTTTTTCATATGGAAATATCATTGTTTCTGTATGCATGTATCTTTTGAGAACAAGATTTTTTTTTTGGTGGCTAAGAGATAACCTTGATTTTTCTTTCTTTTTATCAAGACCTCCTCTATGACATTCAAGACCTCCTCTATGACATTCAAGACCTCCTCCGTAACATGTAACTTTTTGGGTCCAAGTTCCATTACTGCTTCATGTAAACTAGAAGCACACATATGCTTCAAATTTATATTAAGGAAGACACTCCTAAGTCTCGTCATTGTGATGTAGGATGGTTCCTCATCACGTCATACGTACACACATGCACATATATAGATACAAACATACATACATAGGTACATATTCATGTATACACATGGAAATATGGATATGGGATGGCAGGTCATTTGTTAAATGAGCTATCGAGTTTTAACTGAATTCAGGCTGCACACTCTGATCTATATAATCTAACTCACAGCGTATATTTATTTCTTGACTCAAAAGGGTAAATACAGTTTCCTTCTATGTCTCAATAAAACTCCATATAAAGCTTTTTCTACACATTATAATTATACAATTAGTTGTTTCCTAATTTCAGCGTGTTCATTTTACAGAAGAGTCGACTGTTGTAGTTGAAGGTTCGAAAGGACAAGCATCAAGAAGCTTGACCCTTGCAGAAGCAACCGACAGCATACTCTTCTGCAGTTCGATAATTCATGATATTGCCTATAAAGCTGTAAGCATTGCAATGGATAAGGAATCAGCGATACTCCCGGAGACTTCTCGGCCAACAGTTACAATATTAGGAAAAACTGCCAGCAAAAATGATTCAAGAAAAGCACCCAGTAAACATTCACCAAAATCCCAAAAATTCAGAAGAAAGAGGTCAGAAACTCCAAATAAGTCACCGCTGACAGAGTCAGGAAACAATGTGATTGTCCAAGAATCAAAACCTGCAAATGGCGAGAATATCCCGCACAAGGTTCCTGATAGTATAAAGCCCCCGAAATTGGAATCCAAGTGCAACTGCGCTGTGATGTAGATAGGGACTTACCGTATTTGGCATATTTATTCTCTGCTCTCCTTTCTTTATTGTACCTAGCATAAACATTTTCAGCGCAATACCGCTATGCCGTTGGGTATAGAATTTATTTTTAAGAAGATGCCGCTTGTTTGATATGGTGGTTGTAAAATTGTAGCCCTTTCTCTTTTTTCCTTTTCCTTTTCCTTTTCCTTGCCTATGATCACTTTTTGGTCTGGTTTCGTTCGGTTGCTGCTGTATTCTTTTGTTTAGAGGAAGAGCTTGCAGTTTGAGCTATTCTTTTTGTAAATCTTCATCGGTGTTCTCTAATGTATGGTTCTCCAGCACCCTTTGCGTGTTGAAAATTTTGCAACTTGGTTATCTATTTTCTTCTTCTGCGTGTTGTTCATCTCATGCTTGGTTTCCGTGGCTTTATTTATGAATCTCAGGTGTTGTTCCGAGTAGAGATTCTGTGCTGTTGTCCAAAATCGCCCTTATAGAATGGGTGATGATTAATTAGTGGCTAGATGGCTAGTTTTAGAGGGATATTCTGGGAATTTTAGTTATTCTATTTATAATACGAATGGTTCTAAAGGATTATTATTTGTGCTTTCATTACAGGCAGCACGTGTGAATGTGATGTGTACCGCATAGAAGCACTTCAAGAGGATTCTTACTCGTTGGTTTTCAGTTATAACGGGTGAAATTACTGATGCCCAAGTATTATTCTACTACACTGAGATTGAGATTTTTCTGATAATTTTTTTTATTGATACCAACTTAATTGTAAAGGTTGAGAAAGTAATATGAATTTTTGATTTTTTTTGGAAATTATTATGACTTACCTGCTAGCTCTGTTATCATTTATCAAGCCATAACAGTTGAGATACTAACCACATTATAACGTATTCAAAAACTAATTTGTCACTTACATATGTGTGTATGTAGACTTGTAGAGCAAAATACTCTAACCCCCCCCCCCCCCCCCCCAAAAAAAAAAAAGATTTGTTATTTTTACGATAACGATCTCGTAAACTGACGGGAAAATCACACAATGATTTAATACGGAAAAAGTCATGATTGATCCAGGTTGGATTAGGATTTCAAATTTTCTAGATGTTGCAAAATTGCTTTCTTTTTGTAGTGCTAATAATTTTGTAAATGATAATTTCAAAATAAAATTTCTGATTTCTTGGCCAAATTATTCAGAATAAAACCGAACCTTTAAGCCCCAATTTGGCGGGAAAATCGACACCCTAATTTTTCTACGCAGCAAAAGGAGAGGGAACTCTCTTCCTTCTGACATTTCCTCCCCCTTATCGGATCCAAATCCGCCGCCGCCATGGAATCCGACTCCGATTCCGACGCCTCCCACGTCTCCTCCCTTATCGGATCCAAATCCGCCGCCGCCATGGAATCCGACTCCGATTCCGACGCCTCCCACGTCTCCTCCACTCCTCCCAGAGCCCAAAACCCCAACGCTAACCCCAAACCCAGAAGCCCTAAACCCAAACCTAAAAAACCCAAGTCCAGAAAACACAAATTGGATCCGAATCCGCCGCCGCGGCCGCCGTCACCGGATCCGAACCCTCCATTTCCCTCACCTAACTTCTCCATCCTCAACGGATTAACGGTTAAGAGGATACAGACCCAACCCAACCCAATAACCTCTTCCTCATTTTCCTCCATCTTTAAATCTCGAGGGCTCGATTTCGATCCCTCTCACTTTGAAAAAGATAGTAATTTTCCATCTACGAGTTCAAAAAATGACGAGAAGATTCATAATAACAAGCCGAAGAAAGCGCAGCCCAATTTCATAGCCTCCTCTAGTTTGCCCCCGGAGGAGCTGAAGCGATACAAATGCAGTAGTGAAGGTAATTTTGTGAGGTTGAATATTAATGGGTACGGGCGTAGGTATAGTTTTAAGAAAGGGAATAGGAAGTTTTCGTCGAAATTTAAGAGATTTCGTCGGAGATTTGTTAAAAGGAGTGAGGTTGGTGAAGAGAAAGATGGTGATGGTGATGATGAGTTTTGGATGGAGAGTAGAAAACTGGATTCTGAGGTTGAGAAGGTACTGGAAGAGGTTAGAAGAGAGGTTTCGGACAATAATTTGAAGGGTTTGTTGAAGGTTGTTTATGGGTATGATTCGTTTAGGGAAGGGCAGATTGAGGCAATCAAGAAGGTGATTAATGGGGAATCAACGATGTTGGTTTTGCCCACTGGGGCCGGTAAATCACTGTGTTATCAGGTTGGTTTTGATCTCTTTATATCTTTTTTGCTTAATTTTTTTTCCAATTCTCAGTCAAATTGTCCAATTTAATTAATTAGTTATCTTACAGTTGCCTGCTCTGATTTTGCCGGGGGTGACATTGGTTGTGAGTCCTTTAGTTGCTTTAATGATTGATCAGCTTAGAAGATTGCCATCGGTTATACCGGGTGCTCTTCTCTCAAGCAGCCAGGTAGTTACTTTTCCTGTAAATGCACAAGCTTATATTTGGATAGGATGCCTTAGTTCTTTTCATGTATTTGCTTGATGTTGTTTTCTTATTTCAGACAACTGAAGAGGCTTCTGAAACCCTACACAGGCTTCATGAAGGAAATATAAAGGCGAGTTCTCAAACTGCATAATGAATTGAGTTCTTATTTGAAATTTAGTTTCTTTCTGTTTGATTTTAGTTCAAATGATCAGCATGTAGAATCTGTTCTTGCATATATAGCTAGTAGTATTACTCTGCCATCTGGTTGTTATGACTGTTAATAGGCTAGCAGAACTATATACCTGTCTTTATATGCAGGATTTTTTCTCCTCCTCTATGAGTTAAAGAAATTCAATGATAAGACGCATGCTGATTACTCACCTTTTATAACGATCTATCGGGGCAAAAAGGACACTATTGATGGGAAATGACCATGGAGATTAGATAAGAAATCCACACTTCATTTCTTTTTGCATTAGATAGTAACTGAAAGTATATCCATTGGGTTTTCTAGAAGAATTATCTAATGAAATCATAGTGTAAGCTTATAAATTTGAAATTATTGAAGGAGTAGGGTTTATATATTAGGTTACCACTGATATAGTTACAGTCTAGTATGACTTATGCATGTCCATACTAGTAAAGAGCTCTAAATCACTTACAATGAGATCTATGTAGCTACTGTTCTTTCTTTTTCAAAATTTTAGTATATCTCTTGAATAGATATATAATTAGTGACAGCAACTAGTTTAAGTTATCCTTGGACCTATCAACCAGTTTGGAAGTGTGAATGTGTTGTGGTAGAAGCAAGCTATATGATGCCTGCTTTTAGATAAAAGTTCAAGTCAACAGGACTTGTGGGAACTCTATGCGGTCAATGCTTTTTGATAATATTTACTTATTTTGTTTCAAATTTGTGGTATTCTGGAAGATAATGCCAGTCTAGGTTGCACGGATTCAGGTATGGGTGCGGATATGGGACACAACAAATTTGTAAAGGATAGGACACGAGGACACAACTATATATACGTATTGAAATTAATAATTTATATGTGATCAATATTTTTTTTTCATTCACATATGATAAGATGTAAAATCCTATAATATTTTTATGTTTCTTTTATTGAATAGATTATGAATTGAAAAACTGCTTGTTTTGAACTAGATACTCAATTGATCGTTTAAAATCATACTTCTGAACTGTGCATGGTTTGATACGAACCCGACGTGAGTCCAATGAGTTGTAGAAATTTACGGTGAAGTATAAGATATATGATGATGAAGTGGATTGTGAGTGTTTTAAACTAAAACGTGTATTATATAATAAATAAAATGTCTGAATAATTGTATGTATATATTCAAGAAGTGTCCAAGGAGTGTTGGACATAGACATGATATGTGAAGTGTCAGACACGGATACGCTGCCTAGATGAACTGTCCGGGTAACTTAGATTGCAGTTGAAGGATTTTTCCTTTTATGATTATAATAAAGCAAAGAGGCATCTGATCATTACATTCCCAACAGAGAAAGGTACATAAAAAGAAGAAAGAGTTCAAAGGCATTTAAAGTTTGAACATATGGACGGAGGGAAAAGATAATCTAAAATTGTGCTGTTTGTTTGGTCTTTCAGTTCTCTTTTGGTTTGGGATAGGCTAGAGTATTATTTATTGAGATGCTTGTCTTTTGGTGACTTTCCCTCTAGAACATCCACTAAAAGTATGCTATAATCTTAGACTAAAAGTCTGATACGGGTAATTACATAAATTTACTGCATAAATTATGATGTTCAAAGTACTAAATGAACTAGGTAAAGAAAAACCATAATCTCATAAAAATGTGGGCTCGATGTTCTTAAGTATTGTTTTATCATCTATGACTAAATAGCTAAATAGATTCTCTAAATCCGAGCATCATGCTAGTATAAACTATAAACTATAAACATATTCAACATGACAAAACTTTGGTGTCTAAGCAGATCTTAAAAGTTCTTGCAATTTAGACGAATAGATGGTGAGTCTTCTACTTCTACTTTCAGATGTAAACGTTTCTATTGATGAGTCAAGTATATATTTTTAGATACATAAATTGATGCGGACCGGGGCGTGGGCTCGAATTCGGAAGTAGAAGGCTCTTGAATATGCTACCTTCGACCCCAATCCGGATGCTAGCCAATCTATAAAATTCCCAATTAATAGCCAACAACCATTCTTCATAAAAAATTCCATGTTATGGAACTTCATAATATTGTAGCAGAGTGCAAGCAATAGAGACTAATTTAGCAATTTAGATGCATGTTATGCTGTTAAGGACCTGTTCAACATAATTTCATTGAGCGTGTAGTGTGACCTAGATCCTTGGTTTTAGTCTATGCTCGTTGTATTAGTGAAATGCTGTATGTGCCTTGCATTCTTATTGTAATTTTTGAGTTATCTTGGTTGTAGTCACATTTTAAAGCTCTTCAGTCTGATGGACTAATTTTTTCAGGGGAAATTGCTTTAGGAGACCTGATTCAAAATATCTATGCATATACTTAATTGGAGAAAAATCAAATTCTTAAAACCACTTGCACCCAAAAATTTATTCATGTACACCCTTGACAATACTTTACACCTCATCTCCATAATTTTCTTCTTTTTTGACCTTTTCTGTCCTTATCTTCTCAACTCCTAGTTTTTTTATTTTCCTACTTCTCTTTCAAACCCAAAAGAGGCAATCATGGTGCCAATAGTAGCTCCCAATCCATTTCCGTCGCCACTTGTTGAGCAATGGTGATATTATCTCTAGAGACGAAAAGTTCATCTGAGGAGGTGACCAGTGCTAAAGCTCTATCCCCTTGTCGCTGCCACCATCGCTTCTTTCAGTATAGAGGAAATGAACGCGCGATGCTCAAGCTCCATCCCCATTGTTGATGCCATCGCAACCTCTTTTGGAACCGTGAAAGGCATTGAAATACTATTCTCCATTCGCTTCCACTCCGCTCCCTCATCTGACAGTGTCCAACAAGCCTGTGCTATGCTGCTGCTTCTTGTTTCTCACTGCTGCCAATAAAGTTTTTATTTTTACAAAAATTCAAATAGAGAATTATCTAAGGATGACAAAAGCTTTTGTATTTACACTTCATCATTCATTTTTCCCTTTTAACCTTTTTTTGTTCTCTTCTTCTCCTTTATTTCTCTATTAATTCCTTGTCATCATCATCCTCCTCTTCCGCCTCCCAAATAGCGGGTATGTTATGACAACCACTAACTTTGTATGTGTAACACGACTTATCTTCATAGTTTAGAGATTGAAATTTGGGGGTATTGGGGTTCTCAATAAAAAAATATTTAGAGATTGAAATTAATCTCCCTCATGTATTGAAGTGGAATGGATTCTATTGGATTATGAAATTGGTGAGAGATGTATGTGATTTGTGACGTTAACCTACTAAATATCACAAAAAAAGCTTTATGACGGTTAATGATTAAGAGTCACATGCAACGATAATATATAATACCTAAAGAATAACTATCTTATAAAACATAAGTTTATCACATTTAATTATTAAATGTCACAAGCAATGTCGATGCATCACAGATAATAGACAAACATCACAAGAATTTGAGATATGCAACACAATTCAGAAATAATCACTTGAGTCCACTTTTAATATGAGAAAATATTAAAGTCACTTGTTTCCTCCCTCAGAAAATATACCCCTGCGTTTTGAATGCTAAAAATTATGATAAAAAACACCTATATGACCTCGCAACCTTGAGACTCATATATGCTACAACTTGTTCATTTGTCACATTTAAATGTGGAATATGTCATAAAATGTGACGTTCGGTAAATCACAAATATCAAACAAAGTATAACATAGTCATAAATAACAAACAACTATAACGTCTAATGACTTAAAGTCACAGATAACAACAAATATAACATCCAATAACTTAAAGTCACAAATAAAATAGAAAGTAACATTCAATTTCTTATTTGTTAAGTATAGCTGATAAACTATATGCAGGTATTCCATTTGTGAATAAGTGTCACATGAAATAAGTAAAAGTCACAGTTAATAACTATGTATCACATTTAATTAATAAGTGTCGCAAGAAATTAGTAAAAGTCACAGAAAACGACAATATATCACAGTTAATAAATAAGTGTCATAGAAAATAATAAACGCTTATTTATTGACTATGATACATAGTTATTTTTGCGACTTTTACTTATTTCTTGTGACACTTATTCATTAAATGTGTTACATAGTTATTTTATATGACTTTTACTTATTTCTTATGATGCCTATTTATTAGCTATGATACATAGTCATTTTTATGACTTTTACTTATTTGTTGTGACACTTGTTCATTAAATATGATACATAGTCATTTTCTATGACTTTTACTTTGTTCATGTGGCACTTATTCATAAATGGAATACCTGCATAGAGTTTATTAGGTATACTTAACAAATAAGAAATTGAATGTTGCTTTGCATTCTATTTGTGACTTTTAAGTTATTAGATGTTATATTTGTTTGTTATCTGTGATTTTAAGTCAATAGACATTATAGTTGTTTGTTATTTATGACAATGTTATACTTTGTTTGATATTTGTGACTTATCGAACGCCACATTTTATTTCTTATTGTGATGTATTTCACATTTAAATGTGACAAATAAAAAAGTGGCGGCATAGATGAGTCTCAAGGCTGCAAGGTAATAGGAAGGTTTTTTTTATCATGATTTTCAGCATTCAAAACACAATGGTATGTTTTCCAAGGGAGAGAACAAGTTACTTTAATATTTTTTCACATTAAAAGTGGATTCATAAGCATTCAAGTGGTTATTTTTGAATCTTGTGTTGCATATCTTCATTTCTTGTGATGTTTATCTATTATTCTGTGATGTATCGATAGTACTTGTGACTTTTAATAATTAAATGTGATAAACCTATATTTTATGAGATAGTTATTCTTTATATGTTATATATTATCGTTGCATGTGACTCTTAATCATTAACTGTCATAAAGCTTTATTTTGTAATATTTAGAGGGTTAATGTCACAAATCACTTACATCTCTCACCAATTTCATAATCCAATAGAATCTATTGTCACTTCAATACATGATGGAGATTAATTTCAATTCCTAAACAAGTTTTTTAGAGTACCCCGATACCCCCAAATTTCAATCTCCGACCTATAAAGATAAGTCATGTTACACATACAAAGTTAGTGGCCGTAATAACATACCCACTATTTCAGAGGAGGAGGATGATGATGATGATGATGATGATGAGGAATTAATAGAGAAATAAAGGAGAAGAAGAGAACAAAAAAGGGTAAAAAGGGAAGAAAAATGAATGATGAAGTGTAAATACAAAAGCTTTTGTCATGCTTAATAATTCTCTATTTAAATTTTTATAAAAACAAAAGCTTCATTGGCAGCAACGAGAAACAGGAAGAAGTAGCACAGCACAGGGTTGCTAGGCACTATCGAAGGAGGGAAGGGAGTGGAAGCGGACGGCGAATAGTATTTCAATGCCTTCTGTGGTTCTGAAAGAGGCGGCAACTGCAGCAGTAATGGGGATGGAGCTTGAGTGCCGTGCGCTCACCTCCTCCATTCTGAAAGAGGCAGCGGTGGCAGCGACAAGGGGATGGAGCTTCGGCAGTAACAAGGGGAGGCAGCCCAGAAGAAAGTGGGAGAATAAACAAAATAAAAAGGAGTTGAGAAGGTAAAGACAGAAAAGGTCAAAAAGGGAAGAAAATTATGGAGATGAGGTGTAAAGTACTGTCAAGGGTGTACATGAATAAATTTTTGGGTGCAAGTGGTTTTGAGCATTTGATTTTTCTCCAGGGAGGTATGTGCATCGATATTTTGAATCAGGTCACTTGAAGCAATTTTCCCTTTTTTTATTAGGAGACAATTTTACATTTGCAGTAGTTTGCATATTAATGCTGATGTCTTTGAGTCCGGTGCAAGATTCTTGATAATCACCGAATAGTTCAAGATGATATAATAAGCAGACATGGTCATAGTTTGTTATGATATCTCAGGAAATAAAACAACATTCATTTTGTATACACTATTAGTTTATTACTTTAACTTATACATCATACAGGAGTATAAATTGGCAGGAATAAACGCTATGGCAAGATATAAGCACTAATAGTTCATTTCTTCATGCATGTCAATGTTTAGAAGTACAGTTAACTTGGTATGGTTGTCAAATGCTGTGTCTAAAATGTTCAATCACTATTTTCTTATGAACCAGGTGCTTTTTGTGTCACCGGAGAGATTTTTGAATCCTGAATTCACATCGATGTTTGGGGATTCTCTTTCTGTATCCCTCGTAGTGATTGATGAAGCTCACTGCATTTCTGAATGGTTAGTATATAATTAACAGAGTTTCTTTGGATTCTAATAGTTTTGCCTGAATTTGTTAAGAATCTATTCTGCCTGATCCCTGATCCCTGCACATTGTGTGGCAGCACAATTAGCACACAGTTTCCTAAGTCCAAACTATTAATAATGCTTTTACTTTGCACAATTTTTATTTTATAATGATATATAGTCATAATTTCTGATTTCTGTACTTAAGTCTTACAGAGTTTCACTTTCATGACTTCAAAAAAATAGGTCCCATAACTTCCGGCCTTCATTTTTGAGGCTGAGGGCATCTCTTCTTCGTCTGAAGCTTAATGTTCAGTGTTTTCTTGCAATGACTGCAACTGCAACAAATCGAACTTTACATGACATTATGCATGCTCTAGAAATTCCAGAAAGCAATCTTATTCAGGCATGCAAGATAAGAGAAAACCTGCAGCACTTTGTAACATTGAGTGGAAACAGGCAAGTGCATAACTTAGTGTGTTGTTAATTCATTTTGCTGAAGCAGTTATCATTTATCTTCTATATTTGTACGTCACACTTAACAGCTTCACTTTGAATTTGTTCGAACTGGACTTCCCGCAGATTGAAGGATTTACTGCTGCTGATGAAGTCTTCAACTGTTGTCAACTTGCGAAGCATCATTATATACTGTAAATTTCAGGTTAGGTATATATCACGGAGAAACATGCATGCATGCGTAAAAGGTCTTAAACTGTTGTCAACAAGCGAAGCATCATTACATACTGTAAATTTCAGGCTAGGTATATGTCATTCATAAACGTGCATGCATGTGTAAAAAGATGTATAAAGGGACCTTTAATGAGCAGATAGTTGACTTAACGTACAAATATTAACCATTAGGTATTGTCTACAAGATTGCTCGTCTATGTTGGGGACAATTCAAAGCTGCTATTGACTACATTAGATGCCAATTGTGTGAGGACCTTTCCATTTCAAAAAAGCTGTTTGTGCCTTAAATTGTTTACCTTATGACTTTGCTCAATAGGCATGCCAGAGGCTTTTGGTGCTTTGCCTGCCTTTTAAGGACATTTTGGTAATTTGTTTGCTGATTTTCTTTTTGGTGAATATTGGGGTTCCTCCAACCCTATTTGGATGTAGGGACTAGGGAGAAAACCCCTCTAATATTCTTGGTGGCATGTTCAGAACTTGTGGCCTCATTACACAAATCGCATATTACCTACTCCTCTCAACTCCTACTATATCTTGTAAAAAAGAGTATTTGAGAGGAAGTGCATTGCTTGCTGCAAGGATTGGTAGTACATCAACTTCTTCCTAATTATACTAATACTAAATGTTATGGGAAATGAACAGTTCTTAGCTACAGTAGAAATCTATTTTTTTTACCATATGTTTGCAAAAATTTCAAAAAAATTGATAGCTCATTTGGTCAGAGGGTTGACCTTGAAAGTAAGGTTGTGGGTTTGAGCACTGTATTCAACATTTCTTTAAGTCCATTTCCTTTTTTGCATAGAAACCCAATTTTTAACCCCATTCGAATTTAACTCATACACTTTGAAGAAAAGTTAGTTTTTGCATATAAACTCAAAATTTACCCCCATTTATTTTTAAATCCAGCTACTTCCAAACTCTCTCTTAGCCCTAAAATATTCCAATAAAAGACTCCATTTTTTAGATGTTAGTCCCTTGCATCTTCAATAATTCCATATTAGCCCCTCAACTCTTGAAAATAGCATGTCAATCCTAAAATCCTATATGGTCTTGCAAAAAGGTCCTTTTGCTAGTTGTTTAGTTTTAAAACTCAGTCATGATTGGATTAACCCCTAAGCCAACATCCAAAATTAATTTAAATCAATTAAGAAATGGGTTAGGAAACTTAATAAAGGGATAAAATCATCAATTTGCCTCCAACAGTTAGAGAAATATAATTGTTATGAAGCTTAGCTTTGGGTTAGGATTCTTTTATGATTTAAATCCATTAAGAAATGGGGCAGGAAACTTAATAAAGGGATAAAATTATCAATTTGCCTCCAACAGTTAGATTTAACGGAATATGCCACTCAAATCTTACATGGGTTTGTCATAGGAACCATCTTGCAAGACTCAATAGGATTTTAGGGACTAATATGCAGTTTCCAAGATTTTGAGGTATTAATATGGAGCTATTGAAGATTAAAAGGACTAACGTTTAAAAACCCTTATTTTTAAACCCGCTCATTTTGCGAAAGGGCTTTTTTAGCTAATAAACTCAAAGTTTACTCATCTATTTTTGAATCCACCTATTTTGACAACCAATCTTAGACACTGAAATATTTTTAAATTTCACTTTTAGCAATTTGGTGTATAATGTAAGTTTCAATATTTTTGTTCTAAACAATTAGTTATATATGGTCTATTTTTAAAATACTTAAACCATTATTTATTTATTTTCTCACACTAATGTTGCAGCATCGCGCATCTCAATTTCACTTGTTTTTCTTCTATATTATTTTATTTTCTTTACATAGGTTATGAACCTGATTACCTGAAGGCCTAAAAAATGAAGGATTATAGCTTCTGAGGATTTAGAGCACTGATTAGGAAAATTCAGGAAAAGTGATAAAGTGAATTTATTTGTAGGAGATTAGAGGTTGCTCCTATTGAGGAACAAATGAGAGATTCAGAGATGGTTAGTCATGACTCATGTACAACATAGGTCTCTTAGAGGTGTTTGGGAGGGCTTATTTCTTGAAACTTATAACTTATGCTAGTTTTGAGTGAGTTTTGGCTTTTGTCATAAAATTTTTATAAAAATTATATGAGTATGAAAGTCATTTCTTGGTCAAACCTAGCTTATTTTGATGAGCTGAAAACCTAGTTTATCAAAAGTTGGGGAACCCCAACTTTTTTAAATTGGACTTAAAAGCTAGCTTATTTGGGATGTTAGAAAAACTAGCTTAAACGCCACTTTGACCAAAAAAAAAAGCTCTCCCAAACACCCTCTTGGTGCACCGGTTAGGAAAAATGATAATATCATAGTAAATGGTGCAAAGTGATTTATAGGTAGACCTGAAAGAACTTGGTAGCAATTACAACGGATATGACAATAGTTAACTTAATGGAAGATCTGACCCAAAACTGAACTGAATGGAAGAATAGGATTCTTGTAGCTCACCCTAGAAATTTGGGATAAAGGTCTCGTTGTTGTTGTAGCTTTTGGGAACTTATATTTAAATGCCTAAATATGTACTTATTCAAATCTTGTTGTGAAGATAGAAGAACACTGAGCTTTTGAACCTAGGATGGGTAAGTTACTTGGCTGAAGCAACTACTTGGAGACATATAAAAGTGCAAACCCTTGTAAAGAATGGGAAAATAAAGAACTGAAAAGACTCGATAAATTGTGTAATATGAAGGTAACAAGGTTAATTTTAACAAGAATTAACAGCTGTTGACAAATAAAATTTTTGAAGCTCTGACTTCAAAATGTCTAGATAAATCCTGGTGAGAATGATCATTTTGTGTTATATAGATGTTCCAGTGAAACATTCCTCTCCAATTTGGGTAACTTAAGTTCACTGTTCACTGTTGCTTAGCCCATGTTTTTACGATTTGACAATTGCATAATCTAGAAGAGAAAGCTTTTCCACAATTATATGCATTTGGCCAGAACAGTGTAAGATTTAAATTTTAAGCAGGCTAGGTGTGTAATGTATGCAGGCTGAAGCTGATATGGTGTCCAAGTACCTATGCGACAATAATATCCATGCCAAGGTCAGAGGCATCATTGGTCTTATGGTAGATTTAAATGTGGCGACTTGATCTTACTAAGCGTTAATTCGTATCATTTGTTTCCACATCACAGGGTTACCACAGTGGTATGTTGGCAAAGACTAGGAGCCGCATTCAGGAACTCTTCTGTTCTAACAAACTTAGAGTGGTAAGAAAGTGGTCAGTTTCATACATTAGAAGGCTCTTAGTAATCCATGCAAGTTTAATTTAGTCTGAGAAGTATTTATCGCACCTTGTTAGATGATAAAAATTAACTTTGATTGATGAGATTTTATTCATATCTTTTTGAAGGTGGTTGCAACAGTGGCATTCGGCATGGGTCTTGACAAGAGTGACGTTGAAGCGGTATTTTCGGATCATTATTATTTGATTTGATTCTTTTTCTCTATCTCCTACTACCTGCTATTACTTTTTTATCCGTTAGTTTTCGCATAGTGCAACAAAATGGGCTATATTTGTTTATTTATTCAATTTTTAACTGATCCAGAGCTTTACATATGATTCTATTTTTTCAGGTAATCCATTATAGCTTACCGGAAAGCTTGGAAGAATACATTCAGGTGGCTATTGCAATATTTTGCTTGATGCTAGTATTTCTTGGTTTCAGGTGTTAAGTTTTAATCTATTGGTATTTTCTTTTAGAAAACTGGACGGGCCGGGAGGGATGGCAGGTTGTCCTATTGCCATCTCTTTGTTGATACTGATACATATTATAAGCTGCGTAGTCTTTCATATAGGTAAGAACATTTTAATTCGTATTGTCAGTTATATCACTAGTTGCTTCTTTTGTTGCTCGTTAACTTGATACAGAAATGCTTTGGCAGTGATGGTGTAGATGAATATGCAATCAATAAACTTCTTTCCCACATCTTTTCCAATGATGATGAGTTACCTGGGACCATTTGCTCCTTGATCAAAGAATCTGCATCCCAGAAATTTGATATGAAAGAAGAGGTACTTTCATACTTACATCTTAACTATAGGCATCTTTTCGTTATTCAGCCCTACTGTTTTTCTAGTTTTATTTGTTTTAGTAGTTTATCTGTTTTTTCATCCAAGTAACATTCACCTCAGAGCTTCTCAAATTCTTTCTGATCTTGAATTACATTTTCTGAACTTGCTAAAGACTTTGTTCGACATTTAAATTTACATGCATTTCATTAATCAATTTGTGTTCTAAGCGTGTACAATTCGTTCAGTCTACACTCAAGTATTCATTACTTCCTATGTTACCCGGGTACTTCTATAATGAAGCCGTACCCGTACCGGACACGTACCCGACACTTTGCCGTACCCAAACTTCATGGACACTTCTTGAATATATGCATGCATTTATTAAACATGTACTCAATTATAATATATAAGTGTTAATTTAAAACACTTGTTAAAGACTTCTTGGACGTAGAGCTTACACTTCACATCCGTCTTTTTTTGAAACTAATGAGGTACGGGTCGGATTCGTTTCAGTCCATACCCAAGTTTAAAACTATATAGTTAATGGGTCGTTTAGATGTCTAGTCCATACCCAAGTTTAAAACTATATAGTTAATGGGTCGTTTAGATGTCTAGTAAAAAAATGAGTAGTTTACAATTCACGATAATCAATATGATAAAAGAAACTCAAAAATGTGATCGGAATTTTAATTCTAATGACACATGAAGGGGAAAAAATTATCATATGTACAATATTAATTCAATATATATATGTAGTCGTGTCCCCGTACCCTACATTTTACAGTTTTGTCGTGTCCCGCACCCGCACCCGTACCAGTACCTGTGCCTGTTTCCATGCAACTTAGATTACTTCTATTGTTTATGCATCCTTCTCCCTGCATACATGTTCATAATATATGTATCACCATGTGCATGTAGTTCATTCTAAGAGAATCTGCAGGGACTGGTTCATAATATATCTCCATGTGCAGATTGCTATTTATTTTATTGTTTTCTTAGCTTTGATATTGCACAATCTTTCAAATTTCATATGAAAATGATATCGTTACTTTATTGATACAGGTGATTCTTACAATCCTTACACAGTTGGAGTTGGGTGATGTGCAATATATCCACCTTGTTCCGCAGGTTAATGTGACTTGTTCAGTGTATTTTCACAAGGTATAGTTTATTCTGTATGCTAATATTGTATTTGCTGAAAGCTGTAATGATTTTATTACGTTGATCACTAAAGAATAACTAAATCAAGCTAGATAAATGTGGTAGTAATGGTTATTGATTGGCCCTCCTGCTAGCTCATGTGGGCTCTAGGGTGAGGGTAGTTATCAAGTATCTTTTAGTGTCTTGAAGGATTGAACTGTTTTACCATAAACATTTCTTTGTTGTTTGAAAAAAAATTATTCCGTGCAGGCATTATGATGTTGTAGATTTGATTTATAATATCACTATTAAATTCTTGAGCGTTTGAAATTTCCCTTGCTGCAGACACCTCCTGCATTGCTTTCTGACAAGGAACCTTTAGTTGCAGTTATCCTTAGAAAGTAAGCGTTCTGTCAATTTTTAACTTTTAGCAGTAACAAGTAACTTTTATAGTTGATCTGTACCTTTGCTCTGTTGAGGGTTGGTAATTGTATTGCTTATAAACTTTGCAGGTCAGAAATAAAAAACGGCCATTATGTGTTTAATTTACCCACTTTGGCAAATGACACTGCAGCGACAACCACTGGTGTGTTAAGACATCTGCAAGACTTAAAGGTTTGGACAAGTCATGTTCAAATTATTTTGGGTCTTGGTGAAATTTGTTGTCCTATGATCTTGGTTATTGTTGCATTATGCCAAGAGGATGTGTATGCCGGGCTAGGTGCACATCAAGCTAAGAATATGTGTATTTATATGTCCGTTCATGATCATCATCAGTATATCATTATCCAACTATTATGCTTTCAAGATATGTTTAATTCTTTTGAAAAGAAAAGATGGATAATGGACACCCTCTTTCATCGAAGAAAAGATAGTTAAACGTTACAAACTACAAAAGTTCAGAAAGCACTCCTTTAATATAAGACCCATCTATTTACTAAAAAATCGTCATAAATAGTTTAGGTTATAACTTCCATTTTTTTCAGTACACATTAATATCTCCCAGGAAACACAATGTGGATCTCCAAGATTGAAATAGAAGCTATTACAAAGATGATGATGCTTAGTTACAGTCTTACAGATATAAGGATTTGATCAATCAAGATGAGTTAGTTACAGCACACGGAGTACAAAGGACGTCTGTACATAATCCTAAATGTAGTACTCATTACATTTGAATGGTGACATCTTACTTCCAGATTGCAATAATCTCTACAGTGATGTTTTTAATGCCATGCAGATTGAAACCACTCCAGTTTACTAACCAGATGACACAACATCAGTTAACACCCTGTTCACGGTTGTGTAGTATCTTGATTCGACCTCTACCCAATGAAAAGGAATTACTGAAAGTCCTACGATATATTGCCAGTGTTTTAAATTGCGGTCGACATGTCAGACATGTGGGGCTCACCACAAGGAAATCTCAACTTTCATATCATATGGCATTTTTGACCCAATATTGGGGATATATCGGTGCATATTGGAAATTGCGTCTGACATTGTGGCTTTAATTGCGGCCTAAATAGCGGCCAGTTTTGTTCTTATTTTATTTTTAGATTACAACATTTTGGTTTGGGTTTATATCACTACAATACATCTTGTCACGTGCATATATGAACAAATTGTGCAAACAAAAGTTACATTTTGCAATACATCATGCTTCTTTAGCTTTTAATGCTTAAAAAGTTTCAGTTTAACTTTTTCCATTGAGCTTCAAGAATGTTATTAACCCATAATTTGAGACCTATTCTATAAAGGAGTGATTGTTCATGCTTCAACAATTAAAATAGAAGTCCAAATTAATGTTACTTGCTAGTTGTCACTTGTCAGTCTTGTAGATTACATTCTAGAACTTATATTATACATCACATCATCCGATTTGGCACTCTGATATTTACTACATATCCTAGATATTTCCCCAGTTTCCGCAATCCGGTATGGATTTTGACCTTCCGACATGCCCCCGACATCCGATATTTAAAACCTTGTATATCGCAGCATAATGACTTAAAAGTGCCCTTTTCTTCCTCTGTTAGTTTTGAATAGAGTGCATGAAGTATTCATAAGGATGCAATTATCTGAATATGTACATATATTTTGAATAACACATTTCTGGGTTAGTTTGCCTAGAGATGATTTGTCTCGACCAGGTTGTTGCTTCAATAACCAAGAGAGCACTTTGTTTAGATCCATTGATTCTGATACTTTGCCTAGTTTTATGACTCCTCTTCCCGCCATTATGACATAGATTGTATTTGTATTGACAAGCATGACAATCTTGGGTATATGTACAATCACAATTTTCTGTGCTAGTCTTCTGAAGATTAGCCACATTATTCTTCCATAACCAAGTGACTGCGTCGTGTGTGATCCATTTATTCTGATTGTTGACATAGTTTCACTGCATACAGAAGTAAAATGATTTTGGTTCTCTGTATTAGACTGCGGAGTATAAAAAATATGTGTGGACTTGATTTCCAAAGCAGGTCTATCTTTTATGGAGAGCTTACTGTTATCTCAATCAGTTTCATGTTAGGTTCTGTAGTATCTATTTTCCCACAACCTTCCTGATGATTATGGAAATTTGACAACATTGTATCACCCAATTTCAGTCTCTGGGAGAAATAACATATGATTTGAAGGATCCAGCATTTTGTTTTGTGCTTGTGAAGAAGCCAGACGATGTTTTCTTCCTAACCACAAAGCTTGCTAAATGGTTATCTGAGGTTGAAAGCTGCAAGGTGAGTTCTGTTACCACTTTGATCCATTAACACTTCTGAATGTGACATGGTACTTCATGCAGTTTACGCCTATCTATAAGCTTATAAACTTTCTGAACGGCATATGTTGTTAGTAGGGTTCCAATATTGGTAACTTTTGTCTTCTGCTTTGAATAGGTACAAAAATTAGATGAAATGTTCAATGTTGCAAGTTTTGCTGTGAAAGAATGCAAGAGAATTGATGGATGTTCAGAGACTATGCATACACCATGTATTCGAAGAAACATATCAGACTACTTCAGCAGGGATGATAACGCCTCTTGTAATAACTTATCCTCTAGGCTACCAAAGAGCAGGTCTCCAGCTACACCCTCTGGTTTAATTGCATGAAATAAAAACTTTATTTAGACTGTGTACTCCATTACATTGCATGATGATTTTTATTCAATTCACCTAATATGGTAAACGTTACATCTTTTCAGCCGATTTATGCGTGCAGACATAAAGGTGAGATGTTAGTACAAAGTTTTACCAGCTTGAATGAAAGAAATGTTTTTTCTTCTTCTTGACTTACAAACTCTAGAGGAGAACTCTTTTGGGTGGCAGGTGTTTTTGCAGAGCAATTCACATGCAAAGTTTACCCCAAGAGCAGTTGCGAGGATTATGCATGGCATCCCTAGCCCAGCTTTTCCCTCAACAGTTTGGTCGAAGTGCCATTTCTGGTATGTCTGAAAATCCATTTTTATTAAAGTTTAACATAAATTTACCCTGTAAAAAAAGAAGCTCGCTACATACAAAAACATATATTTTGGTCTTGTTGGTCTCTTAGTGTTGAAACAGGGTGAAGTGTGTCTTTGTTCGTTAAAAGAACATAACTAGCAAAAAGAAACTGAACTGTCTGCAAATGTTTTGCAGGGGACGATACATGGAAATCGATTTTCCCATTGTTATGGAAGCTGCTGCAGTAGAGCTTATGGATTTTGTTAAGAAAGGGAATACTTGAGTAAGTATCTATATTAGTGGTGGATCCAGGATTTTCAGAAAGTGGTGTCCCTACATGATTAATAGGGTTAATTGTGAATGGACTCTTTGTACTATCGCTAAATTAAACTCGTCAATTTTATTTGGTAAATGATGTTTTCATTAACCATATGGAAAAATATGTACAGAACAAAATTTAGGCATATCTGAGATGACAATTAAACTTGTTATTCTCATAGTTCTATTGTTGTAGATTGGTTAACTCAAATAGATAGCAAAACTGATTAAAATAGAAATGAGGGAAGCCTATGGTAGAAAATATGGAATTTAGTTGGCTTACCAATTATATATAAGCTATACATTGGGAAAGGGTATCGAAGTGGTGTTACGTGAGACCACTTTTGACATAGGTGGATCTGCCCCTGTATCTATGGCCACGATAAGGATGTTCCTCTACCATCCCTTTACCATATAGAAATGTGGAAAAGTAGCATCTTAGTTTTGCTGCAGAGACCTGACATTATATATTTTACAATCATCTATTTATTTAAACCAATTACACTCGAGTATTCTCGCATTCGCTTTTTCCCCCATTTTTCTTGCATACATAGTAAGAATTGTCATAATCACTAATTGAACTTGAACAAATTTTAACATCACCTGGCACATCACTTCGGTTTACAGAAACTGTATTGGCGAATGTCAGTATTGTCTGCTTCTACTGGCATTTCCCGCTGTGCTTACAAACGTGCATCCTCCTGCAAGGCCTATGAGGTATCAATTTTAGGTCATGTGATTTGGTTTTTATTACTACTTTGTACCCTAACCCTTGACTTTCATCCAGGTATTACTGTGAGGATCTTTGACACCTACAAAACAACGAAATCTTTGCTTACGATTGATTGACATAAACTAAACTTCTCCATCCAACTCTCTTTGTCCTAGTGAAAGCGAACACCAGTAACACACACGGTGGAAGTCTTTTTCCCTGGGGGATTAGATACCAAGGAAGCTCTGTGGAATCATGTTAGATGACAATATTCGAGCTGTTGAGTTTTGGAGAGAGATGAGTTTTGTTTGCAACTTAACAACAAGGTCAATTTCTAGACGTGTTTGAGCTTGAGCAGTTGCTGACAGATAGTTGCTTGTGTATATTTCGTGCTCATGGATCTGCCACTGGCTCATCTGATGCACGAAACTTGAGACCATTAATTAATATGTTGATTTTTAACCTAAAGCAAAACAGTAAAATGCAACCAGTGTAACAAATCAAAACTTTCAAAGGTATAATAACATGCGCTGTAACCATGGATTTCAGAAAGTATTGAGCTTTAACTTCTTTAGACTTAAAACAGCTCCAGCCCTTTTTTTTATATTTTTACAAGGTAGTTGTTATACGAAGAGTGACTGTCCGCAGCACCAAAACATGCATACAACAAAAAGGCTTAACAAAATACATAACCACATAGTAAATTTCATATACTCAAAACAACTCCCACGTTGACTCCACTAGCAGCGGCATCACTTTGAAAGATTTCACTAGCAAAATTACTGAAAACACTGAATCAAACCCCCATCTTGGACCTTACAAGCTAACACCCCTTTTACCTTGTAAAACTACAACAATGCAAGATTAAAGGCTTGGCGTGAACCATCGCAGGTTACATTCATTATACCCCAAAAGAACTTGTTGAGCAGTAGAACTCGGAATCAGATTGCTCAGGAACGATGGCCCCAGACTCCAAGTCGAGTTAACTTCACTATCTTCCATGGCTCCCCTTTGCGAGTCCTGTTACCAAACCAAATATGCTCAGAACTACACGGCCCACTGAAGTAGATACACTTCTTATCACAACCAAAATCGGTTGATGACAATGAAAACGAACCACTTTCATCAAGAAACAGCGCTCGATCATCGCCAATACCTTCCGTCTCTGAGCCAACAGAAGCCATCCATTTTGGGATTGGGGTTGTATCTGTCCGCAAGCGCCAATATCTCACCATTCAATTCTTGGAAGCGGAGGTCACCTCTCATATGAGGCAATAGCTTGCTATTGTCCATCTCTAACAACTGCGTCGACAGCACAGGTACAGAAGGGTCGACAACATACAGCTCACGACTTCGGGATACGCAGTAAAACTTGTTGGCATAGTGGAAATTATAGCTATAAACGAACTTATATGCCAAGTCCAGTCTGATCCATATCACACAGGGCTGTGCAGGAAGATTTTGTCGAAATTGAAGTTAATGTAAACATTAAAATCATCAAAGTTCATTTCATAACAACGTTGCTGAAAACATTAAAGGAACCCCGTTCTTAGAACCTCACCCTATGCTCTAGGATGCTGCTCTGTTAAGGCTTGGGATCGGTACTGTATGCGTCTACAAGCGCTAATATACGTTCAATTCTTGGAAGCGGGATTCTAGTAAAGTTTGTTGTGTATTTCAAATACACAAAGGCAAAATGTTTAGTCCCACATTGGAAAAAGAGGTGGGGTGTTGCTGGTTTATATATGAACACACTCACTAGAGAAAATGTGACGAGTGAAGAAATAGGGGGTGCTCGCGTGCACATGGGGCCACCAGGCTAAATAGCTTCTGGTTTGTTGGAGGTTTCAGAAAACCTTAATGCGCATATGCGAGCATGTCGCACGCGCAGGGGGGTCGTGGGGTGCAAATCCTCCGGTTTAGCATTCACGTGTGTGTGAAAAACCCAACGTTCTGCCACACTAAAGTTTAATTCGCCTGCATGAGCTCGCACACACTAAAGTTCAATTCGATACCGGGGAGGCCAACACTAAGATTTGTCTTCTCAAAAGCCTGTTTTGTATTTATTGCTGAACTTGTTTTGTATTTATTGCTGAACTGCTCAGTTTGTTATAAATTGATTTGTTATAACATTTGGTTTTCCTACAGTTTCGAATTTCATCTATAAATTGAGACTTGTTCTCATCAGTTTGCAACATTGGAAAAAAAAACCTTCTGCTCTATCTTTCTGTCAGAGAGAGATCTTTGTTGTTCTTTGTAGAATAGGTTATTGGAGTGCACCTTAACCTGTTATCTACCGTTAAATCCTGTGAGGAAAGACGCCACTGTAGCCTTTTGCACTGAGGAGGGACGAAATCTTTTCTTAAGGACAGTGATTACACGCCTCGGCAGTTCGCACACCTTGTGCTTTGTTCCGGTCATAAGCAATTTCGCCAACAATCTTAAGAAAAGATCTGTCCAATGGCTGGATCAGAAGATGATGTCACCAACCCCGATGTTGCAAACACAAATATCAATGGAGCCTCGACCGTCGTCCCTCAGGAGAATTTTTTTATCTGGGTGACTTCTCCCAAATACGTCGAAGATCGAATAGTTCCAGGGAGATCATTTCAAGAGTTGGAAGGAAACGGTTTTTGATGCCCTTGATATTCTCAATTATGCTGAATATCTCACCGAAAAGGAACCTCTACCAGGTTCGGTAGATTATGAAGCAAAGCTAGCGGCTTGGCAGAAAGGTAACAAGATATGTCGTCATACTATCCTATCTACCTTATCAAATGAGTTCTTTTATATTTACTGCTCCTATAAGAATGCATATGAAATATGGGAAAAAATGACAAACAAGTATATTATCAAAGATGCTGGTACACAAAAATATGTTATAGGCAGTTTACTGAAATTCCAGATGAATGAGGAGAAAGATGTCTCCGCTCAAATTCATGATTTTCATATACTTATCAGTGATTTGAAAACTGAGAGAATTACCTTACATGATTCCTTTGTTGCTGTATGTTTGGTTGAAAAACTCCCTGAGTCCTAGGATTATTACAAAAATCGTGTGAAACACAAATGGAAACAAATATCTCTTGAAGATGTGATTGTTCACATCCATATAGAGGAAAAGAATAGGACTCGGGATGTTAATTTAGCTAAGGAATTTGATTCCAAAGCTAATATTGTTGTATATAAACCCAGCAAGAAGTTCAATAAGAACAACAAGAAGCCATTTAACAAAAATCAAAAGGACTTGAAGGTTAATGGAGGTACCTTCAAGAAGAAAAGTAAAGATAATTGCTACGTATGTGGTAAACCGGGACACCATGCTTTTTAGTGCAGGTACAGGAAAGATAATAACAGAGAAAGATGACAACAAAAATCCTTCAAAAGCAAAATTTGCTTAAGGAGATGTTTTTGTGGCTGTTGTCTCTAAAGTTAATCTGGTTGTTGGGGAGAAGAGCTCGGTGGTAGACTTTGGAGCTACCTGCCACATTTGTGATGATGAATTAACCTTCTCAGCATACACTAAAGTCAAGGATGGAGAAGAACAAGTCTACATGAGAGACTATCGTCTTGTTCCTATCAAAGGGAAAGGAAAGAAAAATCTCAAGTTGACTTCTGGTAAAACCCTTGCTTTGACTAATGTCCTGCATATTCCTGAAATTCACTCAAACTTGATATTTGTTTCTTTGTTGGGAAAAGCTAGTATTAAGGTGGCTTTTGAGGCTGATAAGTTTGTGCTAAGCAAGAGTGGTACTTTCATTGGTAAGGGTTACTGTAAGCAGGGACTGTTTGTTCTGAATGTTCTTGATGTTATGAATGAAAAACCTTCTTCTGCTTACTTGCTTGATTCCTTAGAAATATGGCATAGTAGATTAGGACATATTAATGTTCAATACTTAAAACGGATGAAAGCATGTGGATTATTGTCTGAATTTGCTAATATCAATTTTGATAAATGTGAAGTATGTGCTGAAACAAAATCCATAAAGAAACCTTGCAAACTTGTTTCTAGAGATAAAACTGAGTTGCTTACCCTTATTCATACTGATCTTGGTGAATTTAGGAGTACTATGTCTAGAGGAGGAAAGTTTTACTATATTACATCTATAGATGACTTCTCTAGGTATACAAAAGTTGATCTTCTAAGAAACAAGAATGAGGTAGGAGACATGTTTTTGAAATAAGATAAAGAAACTTAGGTCAGATAGGAGAGGAGAATATGAATAAAATTTGTTTTAGGATTTTTGTGATAAACATGACATCATACATGAGACTACTCCTCCATATTCTCCGGAATCTAATGGAGTCACTGAAAGAAAAAAATAAAACCCTTAAGGAAATGATGAATGTCATGCTTGTGAGTTCAAGTGCTCCCTTGAACTTGTGGGGGGAAGCTGTTATGTCTGCATGTCACGTTCAGAATAAGATACCCCATAAGAAAACTGGAAAGACACCAAATAAATTATGGAAAGGCTATACGCCTAGCCTAAAATATTTTAAAGTGTGGGGGTGTCTTGCCAAAGTCCATGTGAATGAACCTAAAAAGAGAAAAATAGGACCTAGAACTGTAGATTGCATGTTCTTAGGTTATGCTCAAAATAGTGCTGCTAGTAGATTTCTTGTTATCAAAAGCAACAATAATCTAGTAGCTAAAAATACTATTATTGAAAGTAAAAATGCTGATTTCTTTGAAGATATTTTTTCTATGAAAAGTAGCTTTGAAAATTTTAAGGTTCATAAGGACTCACAAGATGTGGTTTGTGAAGACTCACAACAAAATCCCAAAAATTCTAAAATAGAAATTCGGAGGATTAAAAGAGAGAGAAAATCCATCAAATTTTGGTGATGACTTTTACACATTTATTTTAGATAATGATCCAGTTACCTATAATGAAGCAATATGCTCCAGAGACGAACCATTTTGGAAGGATGAGATCAATTCTGAATCGAATTCTATCATATCCAATCATACTTGGGAGGTGCTTGAATTGCCACCTGATGCTAAACCTATAGGTTGTAAGTGGATCTTTAAAAAAAAGCTTTAAACTAATGGTTCAGTTGAAAAGTATAAGGCTAGGTTGGTAGCTAAAGGGTTCACCCAGAAGAAAGACATAGATTATTTTGATATTTTTGCTCCTGTAACTAGAATATCTTCTATTAGAGTTCTAATGTCTTTGGCAGCAATTCATAATTTATTTATTTATCAAATGGACGTTAAGACAGTTTTTCTGAATGGCAATCTAGATGAAGAAATATATATGAATCAACCTGGGGGTACTATTGTACTAGGAAATGAGCAAAAAATATGCAAGTTGATTAAGTCTTTATATGAGTTGAAACTAAAAGTACCC